GTCACTCTGGACAGAAAGTAAGTCTATTATTACACATGTAAAGTTCCTTTACATAGATTAAAAGTTTAAAAGCATTAAACGTAACAAACGAGTGCTTTTACACTCGTATGGGAGAAGAACACAGAGGGTTGATGATGGAGCTGAAGTCAGGTTTTTATTGTGAGAGCTGCTTCATTCAGGTCGTTGTTTACTCACTGGCACCTTAACTGTGGCGATATGCTGTTCAATATTCAGCCAATATGACCCAAAATGATTACTTTAAATCCGGGTTACGGGTCGGGCTGCGGGTCGTGTTTCAACGGGTCGGACCGGGTTGCGGTACTAATTGGCCTGATGCACGGGTTTGCGGTTCGGGTGCGGGTTTGTATGTCGCCGGGTCGGGTCGGGGCGGACCTTGAAAACTGGACCCGTGCAGGACTCTGGCTTGGTCTTGTCAGAAAGCTATGATTCCGCTGTTTCACGTGATATGCGTGGCTTCTCGCTATGACGCACGGTCGCGGAGAAAATCCACAGAGAAGAACAGATGTGAATTTGGACGCACTATGCGTCGTTCGGGCCCATAGGGGAGCCTGTAACCGTAACAACTGTGTGACACAAACTCAATGCTTTGATCATTAAATAATGTCGGGCTCGGTTCGGGTTCGGACAGAAATATGCGGCCCGTGCCGCACTCTAACACACACACACACACACACACACACACACACAAACACAAACACACGGAAAACCGGACATTATCAGTTTATAAAAAAAAAAACCCGGACGCCCCGGACGGGACGTGAAAAGTGGACATATCCGCGCAAAAGAGGACGTTTAGTCAGCCTAACGTCGTTACCTAACACAAAGTGAAATGTTAACGGCTCGTTTCTCCTCTGACATGCCACATACCTGTGTGCCGCCACTGCTCGGTTGTCCAGGTACTACTGGGCAGTCATAACACCAACAAAAGAGGAAATTACTGGACCTGGAGTTGGACTTCTGTCGCCAGTAAGACGTTATCTTGCGTTTGTCAGCTGCTCTCATGTTCCCTCATTTTGTGAAGGTTTTGTTGCCATCCTCTGTCAACCAGGCGTCATATGCCTCGCGGCGTATTCCCCCGACATTTGTTCGGAATATTTCAAAACTTCTAGCTTTAAATGAACACTGAAGTTGCGTCTTGTCGCCATCTTATCCGTTTACAATCAGCTGAGAGTGTGCAACTGCGCATGTGCCTGGATGATGTGTGTGTGGATATGCTCTCTGTGTCTGTGTGTGTGTGTAATCCGGGTCCAGAGCTCTATAAATGCCAAAACGGCAAATAAACACGTCCGGTTTATAAAAGAGGCTGGCGTTTATATATTAAATTTTTTTTAGACCCGGTTACTAAAAGAGACCGGCTGCTAATAAACCTCCATTTTGTGCGCTGAGCAGTAGGCAGCTCTGTCCCACCGATCTCAAAACAGCAGGAATTTACAATTAAAGGTAATGTAGGCCTACCTACTCATATGACTATAGGGATTACGGCAATAGGCGAATTTGCCAAAATGTCAAACTATCCCTTTATATGTAACATCACTTTCTTTTCATATTAGCCTTTGAGAAACTCATTAAAAATGTGTTTTTAATAATTGGGTGAAAATGAAATTTAAAAACAGTCCCATGATTGCTCTTCACTTTGGTTTTATTCATATTCCACATATTAAACAAAATAAAAGTTTTCTCAGTCGCTATTTCAGCTTGAGTAGCTTTCACCACCAACAGATGCTGATTACCACACATCTAGTCTCCTAAAATCCTGTTGAGTAGATGAACATGTTTGGAGTAGACCACTGGTGGTAGAGACTTTTTTGTGCGTCTGGGCAACTTACACATATGTACACATTTTCATCTTCCTACTCCAAAAAAAACCCTATGGGGAGGGTTTTTTGAAAATTTCAAGGGGGCGCTATAGAAGCATTTTGTCCCCCCCCCCCCCCCCCCCCCCCCATGGGCGACACCCCTATCAGATGCAAGAGCTCGCCATTCTTGACCTGTGTATCAATTTTCATGAGGATATGAGGTCGCTGAAGCCATCAAAAAGCCAAACGCATTTGATGGCGAGGGCGGCGCCATAGCGGCCACGCCCCTTGACATACACAAACGCTTTTAATAACTTTTGATCAGCATGGTCTCAGGGTGATCTGTACCAAATCTGAAGTTGATTGGACAAAATCTGTAGGAGGAGTTCGTCAAAATACAAGGTGTCGAAATCACAAAATCACCACCAAAATGAAAAGTTTAAATCAAAATGGCCGACTTCCTGTTTGGAGTAGACCATTGGTGGCAGAGACTTTTTTGTGCATCTGGGCAACATACACATATGTACACATTTTCATCTTCCTACTCCAAAAAAACACCTATGGGGAGGGGTTTTTGAAAATTTCAAGGGGGCGCTATAGAGGCATTTTGTCCCCCCATGGGCGACACCCCTATCAGATGTAAGAGCTCGCCATTCTTGACCTGTGTATCAATTTTCATGAGGATATGAGATCGTTGAAGCCATCAAAAAGCCAAACGTATTTAGTGGCGAGGGATCAATAGTCGCCACGCCGCCACATTGACACCATTAGACGTAACTTCACAGCGTTCATAAGGTAGCTTCACCAACTTGTTCTGCATGCATTAGAAGTGGAATGAAGTTGATGTGGTCAAGTTTGTGTCATCAGTATAAAGACTGGTCACTTCCTGTTACCACCAGGGGGCGCTATGAGTAAGGTGGGATATTAACATATCGGGGCGTTCGGGGCGGAGCCATCATCATGTCCAGCAAGTTTGAAGCTGCTGAGATCAAGTATGTGGGCAGGAGAGCCGTTCAAAATTCGATGGCGAGAATACGAAAAGTCGCTAAACTTTGTCACACCCTAGCGGCCACGCCCCCTGACATAGAGAAAAGCTTTTAATAACTTTTGATCAGCATGTTCTCAGGATGATCTGTACCAACTTTGAAGTTGATCACACGAAATCCCTAGGAGGAGTTTGTTCAAATATGTCAAAAATTCAAATCAAAATGGCCGACTTCCTGCTGGGTTTACGGCATGGGTCCAAGAAGATTTTTTGTGCGTCTTGGCATGTTCTATGTGCCTACCAATTTTCTTTTTTTTCTTTTTTTTGCTATGTCGCCATTTGGCCCCGTCCACATAGAACACTGCCGAAATATCAAATTTTTCGCCTGACCAAACGCGTGTGCCAAATTTGATGAGTTTTGGAATCTAGGAAAGGGGCGAAATTGGGGGTTAAATGTTCGTAGTAATAATAATAATAATAATAATAAATAATAATAAACAGCGCGATTACAATAGGGTCCTCACGGACGACTTCGTTGTCGCTCGGGCCCTAAAAAGCTTCTTTCTCATTAAAAGCAATTACAGAAAGCAGCCTCCAGCTGCTAAAGTGCTTCCTGTGTGATTGGGGCCTTACTCTGCCATACCTCCTCTTGTCGCCCAAAAAAATCCACATGAACTTTCAAGTAAACATACACAATGTGGGTCGCTCTGCCCTGTAATGAAATTTGATGCCCTTCATGTTGCCAACACCACCCTGGGCTTGACAGTAAAATGCACATGGCCTCTCAGACAGCGGTGGCTCTGTTAGTCCATTTATAAGCACAATATGATAATAATTACACTGTCATGTTCATGATTTAGCGTTGTAACACCGTCAGCATAGGTTGCTGATGTAGACTACTTTTTAATTTGCCAAAGAGTACTATAATGACAGTGTCAGTTCAGCCAGTTTGCATAAAAAAAGCTCGTACATCAGACAGGACTGGCTAAGCTGGAAATCCACCCAACTACTACTAGTGGTACCTGAAGCATGATAGCCCACTGAGAGTGAAATAATATAATGGCTAAGCTGGATGTGTCTTATTAAAAAGTAAAAGACTACTGAGAGTCTCTTTTCAACTATGTTAAGATTGTCTTTGCTCTTGATAATGTCCACAAGGGTCAGCAGTACGTAGGGAAAAATTACAAGCAGACCATGCTGACCAATCACAGTTCTTGTGGTCCCAACGTGGTATCTTGGTGGCAGCCATAGAACTCGTTGATCTCCCTCTTTTTCTCTCTGTCCTCTCTCTCTCCATGCTTACCACGGTTCCAACATTGACAGACATATTGCTTCAAAAGACATGCCATCTCAGCATTACCTAATGTTTGAATGAGAATTAAATTGATAAATTCATTTTAAATTTCTTCCATATCTTAAAGTTCTGACACTTTGTCTTTATTGAATGCACTTCTTTGTGCAACTTTATGAACATTTAATGCAACATTTCAGAAGTTGTATTCCATCATATGTCATCCAGTTGTGTAAGAATATGTTTACTAGAATAAACCTTGGCCTTAAATCACATGCCTAAACTCAGAATAAAGACATAGAGCGATATAGCTAGACTTAAGTGGGTGCGTACGGTTGATCTATGACACATGTGGTGCGTGTGAAGTAATTGGACAGTGATGCAAATGGGTTGTACCCAGTGTCAACCATGTCAAAAGATCCCAGTCCCTAACACTCTTCACATAACACACAAATAGACACACAGAAGAGGGACAAGCCCAGACAGAGGGCCTAGATATCTGAGCATGGTTGGAGCAGTGCCTGTAATCCCTGGCTATGTGCCAGTGTTTCCCTGACGTGGACTCCATGCATTCCAACCCTAACAGCCTACTTACATACAACACACTCTCTGGATCACAGCCAATGTGTTTGTGTCTGTATATCTACAGACACTGATCAGTCCATGCTATACTTGCAAGGGCCATCAATCTGAAGTGAACATTGTCAAAGTTTACCTTCTCCTGTTTTTCAGAAAAGGCACTGAAGTCGGAAATATCATGCAGATACTCAGACATATTCTGTAATACAGACAAACATTGACACTAAGTTGTGAATGTACCCAGTTTTCCACAGAGGAAGCGGACCCTGTAGTTGCGACAAAGGCCATGAGCCTGGTCCTTGTTGAGGCAGACAAAGCCGTAGTCCTTGTCATTCTTGTGAATCACATCTCCGGTCTGGTTGGCTGGTATGCCACCATGTGTTTCAGCCTGGACAAGGGAAAAATGAACAACAAAAATTAATGGAGGGTACAGTGTGCGAAAACGCCAAAATAGTATTTTGTGACACAGTAATAGTTGCAATAAGAAAGCCATGATGCATTGCATTTTCTAAATGCAGAGCTATTCAGCTGTCACACATATGTAAATTGAGTAAACTGAATGCAGTTCAATTGTAGGCTAAGGGTCGGCTGCAAGTCTAATGTAAATAGCATTGAAATAAACTGTAAAAAGCAACTGATTTCCAGCTACAATTAGCTAAGGCTAAAATTAATACATTTCTGAAAATTATTTTATGCCAACGATACACTTAGAATTTGTGTTTTCATACAATCAAATGGCAAAAAAGGACAGTCCAGTAAGAAAACAAGAGAATGTAATGATTGACAGATTGTAAGAGAGTTGAAAAGGAGATGTAGTGGAGCAAATTATTATTATTAAGTTATACTCTTGTACAGCAGCCATAAAAAAAGAGCAGCTGGAGTCCACAGTAGCTATTTTTTATGGTAATGGTATGGAAGTTGGAGGCCGCGTGACCTGGCACTACTACCTATCTGCATAGAAGGCTAACAGCTGCTACTTTATGGTGCCAGGCTGGATCCATATCCACTGGTAGCAGCCATGTCATGCCCCAGCAACACCGTAATGGCAAGTTGGCTCTATGCTGATGATCAGCTGACAAAACTGGACACAGGAGCTGCCGGAGGTGGCAGCTCCTCTTCAGTACACCACCATTTCAACATCATTGTTGCTATGTGAGTTTAAAGTTATTATTCTTCAGGTTTTCATGAAATCAAGCCCCTTGTTTGATATTATTTAAGTTTTTTGGTGGCAAAGTTTGGCATTTCCGCTGTGCTTTCAAATTTCCCTTTACATGCATGAAGGATTCTCAGCAAAACAATACAGCTGTTATCTCATAACAGCTTCACTGTTCAGTGTTATATGATTTACAGTATACAGCCAGTGAGCAAGTGAACTGTAACCATAGAATAAATCAACTGTATCCAGGAGTTTTCATTGATTATATAAAAGTAAAGTGTCAGTAAGCGATGCTAGCAGAGCTCCTCTGAGTTGTGCATTACTGACATTTTACAACTGAACCTCCTTTACACGGCTGATGTTACTTGGAAAGTTGTTGATTAAACAAAGTCTGTCTAAATCCTGCCCAGACTAAATCCCAGCATCCTAAATTGACGTTTACAAAATACTACATGATACTATACAAAGTATTGTAGAAAACCATCAAACGAAAGCTGTGATGTATTGCAGAGCCATTCAGCTGTCACACATATCTAATTTCCTTTATTTATTTGAATGCTGGTGTATTTTAGGCTAAGTGTGTATTGCAAGTGTAATATAAATAGCATTAGAATATACCAGTATACTGGTTCAGAAAATATGGACATTCACAAATATTCAGGAGCACTAGTGGGGGAAAAAAGACTAGAAAAGGCTTTGCTTGTTGGTCTTAATGTGGGACTTAATGGTTAGGACTTAGATTTTACATGTGACTTGAAAAACATTGACTTTGTCCCATCCTGCTTCACAGCACATATGGTAAAACAATTTCTCAAACTGGGGAAAATTGCTTTCTAGATACATAGTGATATTTATTTTCCAGCCTGAATCTGGCTATGACAACAAACAAGTGAATTTCCCCAAATGTTATCAACAGTGCTGTGATGTAGACCCACAGACAGCCAATGTTTAAATCTTAAGATGTCAGAATGCCCAAGGCATGTGATTGAAAAATATTACCATGACAAAGTATAATGTTTCAGAGTTTATGCTGCAGCTCAGTACAGAGAAGAAAAAAATGGTCTTGTATGTTTCCCAAAACCACATATTGTATATGTAACATTAGTACATTTCATACATGACATATCAACGTTTCTACACTGATGTAGTTCAGGTTAGGTGGACGTGATGGTGGATGGCATGAAACCAGGGCTCGACAGTGCGAGTGTTTCACTCGCATTTGCGACTAAAAATACGTGTGTGCGAACTGTAAAAAATATTTAGGGGCACATGTGAGCATAAAAAAATCAGCCGAAGCAGCCTATATTTTTGTTAATAAAAAAAAATATGATAATCTAACCGCAACTGTTGGAGGAACTCCAGCCGCCTTCCCTCTTCCCTCTTCCCCATGTGACACGGTTATGGGCGGTTTTCCAAGCCACTGTCGGCACAATGAATATCGTGCGCGACGCCAAGGGTAGCAGTGCCGCTTTGTCAGGCGTTGCTGCCCTCTCCATAGACAAACAATGGGACAGCCAGCACAAAGCGGTTTTACAGCTGATCACGTGTAGAGGCCTTTAGGGACTGTTTGCCACGGTACCGCTGCTGGGCAGGTTGGAAATAAAGCCCTTTTCACACAGAGCGCGCAAAGCGCAGACCTCCGCCGACGAACCCATTCATTGTGTATGTGCTACCGCGGCGCGAGAGCGCACCGCTCTGCTGCCGAGCTTGCGCTCGAATTGAAATTGTTTTAATTCACCACAGTGTGCTGTGACGACACCTCGGCGCCGCGCGTCCAATAGCAGAGAAGAGCCTGAAGTAGACCCGAAAGCGGTCACCATGGAGCTGTAGCTCCTGAACGAGCCTGTACTCCCCCAAATCCTGTCCTCTGCGCCCTACTCCACGGTGGGCGCCGCGAAAGCTCTGTGTGAAAGAGGCTTCAGTCCTGCAGAGTTTCAGAGGACCTGGAGAATGTTTTAGGATAGTAATAACATTATATAAGATAATCATATTGCAAAGATAATATATATAAGATAATAACGTTAAAGACAAAATTAAATTGCAATACTTTTTCAAAACTTGATGATTTTACCTTTCTGTACATTTTGTATACAAATTAATTACATAATTTTGCTTGTAAATGTTTATCTGCATCACGTTTATTACGGAAAACACATTATTTGATCAATTTACATTGTGCCCTTAAAGTTCTTTGTGTGCTCCTTACTTTTTCAACTTAGGAGCACATGTGCTCCTTGGGGAAAAAGTTAGCGTCAAGCCCTGGAAACCCAGGTGAGATGGCTGCCACGCAGCAGATCACTGCAGTCCACTGTTCTGGATTTCCAGTGGTGGTTGTGGCGGTAAAACCAACACATTCTTACTCCGGGGTTAACCTGGGTGCATTGGCAGTTGAAGTTCTGGGACACCGTGTCAACTTCAGCCTGTTACATGCATTGTCTGTTTTGAGGATACACTTCTGTTTACACAGGAAATGTACAGTTTGCACACAGTCTCTTTCAAAATAAACGCAAACACCGCAAATTGACATTTTTTGTTCCAACAACAAACACACATGGTTACATTTTGCCAGCACGCACACGGGTTTAGAAAACAAAACAGGGTCTGGCTTTACCATCTTACAGGAACTGAATACCGGCCTCCTGGTTTAAAGTCAGTGGTTGTTAGACCCATCCACCAAATGTTGTTGAAACATAAATAACTGTAAAGGTTCATTATATCCGCTACATATGAAAGTTACAAATACTACATATTCGTGATTTGCAGAAAGGTACAATGGCGATTTTTTTCTGGCTATTGAGTTGACTGTTAATAACCATTGGTGGGTTTTCATGTTAAAATGTGATAATGTCCCAGTTTCCTGCATCAGCAGCTCTCATCTTTGCATGTACGTGTATTTGATGAAGTAAGAGAAGATTTACCTGGATGTTGAGTGGACTGCTACACAGTTTGTCTGGGTAGGTCGTACGCAGGTCAGACACCTTCTCCCAGTCTCCAGATCCCCTCTCATCATCCCTGTCAAACCATTCTGTCCACTCTGCCTCTGTGAGATGTGCGCACACACACACACACACACACACACACACACACCAGTAGCTCCAAGTTTAGTGGTTAGACAGCCAAGTGGTAGATATTTGACTAATCTGTGTCAAGGCTTTGGCTTGTAGTGCATTTTGGCTGTCACAGAGCATTTGTAGCAAAGTAATTGAAGGGCTCTCTCCTTCTATTATGTTCTCTGTCTGGCTGCCACAGTAGGGCGGTTGTGTGTGTGGGTGGGTGGGGTGTGGGATACACATGCATTTGAGATATACACACACACACACACACATACACACACACAGTATCTCAGGCTGCCAGAGTATGAGGTGTGGAACCACTCAGCACACTAACACACAGTACCTTGACTGCGTACCTGCTACAGCTAAAGTGTGCATACATGCACCTTACCAAGCTGTAAACACCACTTCAACACACTACACCTTACATTTTGACAGGTAACTAGGCGTACACAGGTACAAATTGTGAGCACATTTTACCTTTGAGGCTCTGCTGCTAATGCCTACTCACCTACCCTAGAACTAAAATCAAGAAAGCTCATTGTGTTTTCACCACTTTTGTGTTAAATTTATTTCAGCTGCCATGCCTTTAGACTGGATTGTTTACTGAGGAAGTTCAACAAGACATGTAAGAGGTTAAAACTCTGCTAAAGAAAGGTAATGAAGGATTTATGTTTCAGCTGGTTTGACATGTCAGAGGCAGATCTTTAGGCTATTTGCATAGGGCTGCACCATCTGCAGGTAACACATTACTTTGGTTCCGCCTTGCTTGCCTGTAGTGCTTGTAAATATAACTTAAGGCCATAATTCTATTTTTTCCATTGTAGTAATACACAGAATGGAGACAACAGGAAAGTGGAGTCTCCACGAGAGAGAGAGAGAGAGAGAGAGGCTTTATTTTGTTGTTTTTATACCTAACAGTCAGCCATCATTTTGGTGATTTAAGCAGTCATCTCTTAGTAGAATTTCATTTACTTTAAAATTTGTTATGTTGGATAAAAAAAAAAAAAAATGCAGAAATAGCCATAGCAGCAGTCACTTTATCCTGGTACTTGGCCTGATGTATATATAAATAACAGCATGTATTGTTTTAATTTTATTTTTGATCCTGTCTGTTCTGAATGTAATTATCTGTCCACATGTGTACCATGAGGGGGCTACAACTTTCATTCTTTGTGCAACCCTGCGTAAAAAAAATTGTAATTTATGTACTTAAGAAGACACAAATGAAAATGCACCCTAGCTAGCTAAAAAGCTAGTTTTGATCAGTAATCCCTTTCCCTGATGTTAATAGGCGACCTAGAATAATAAAAAGAACACAATATGAAGAATACAATATGTAGAATGGTAAAAGACATACAACATTCAAAAGACATACAATAATATATATATTTATATATACAGTA